GGCAAGCCAGTTAGCATTGTGAGTAGGTAAAGCTTAATCCCCCCGGCCGAACTCTAAGAATCGGTAAAATATACATGCCCCAGAGTTATTCCACCCAAGGAGTGAGGGAGCTTTTTTATGCACAAGCTCCTGTCAGTCATTGAGAGAGATCTGCCGGAGAGTTATTAATCTCTCTGGACTTCAGGCTCTCAGATGCCAAAAAAAAAAAAAAAAAAAGCCTTCAGGCAGATGGGATTCTGCCTTCTTCATGACAATGGTTAAGTCTTAGAGAATGTGGGCAGAGTAGTCATGACAGAGTCTGCCATACTTCTGCCAGAATCTCACAAATATTATGTTGAGAAAATAAAAGCCAGACACAGAAAAGTACATACTGTGTGTTTCCCTTTATATAGAGTTCAAAGCCAGGCAAACTAACTGTGTTAGAAGTCAGAATAGTGGTTGCATTTGGGGAAGGAGAGACTGGAAGAGGTCACAGAAAGACTTGGGGATACTTGCACTGTTATGGTTCACACTATGGTAATTCATTGAACTATATACTTATAATTTGTACACATTTCTGTGTGTGTGCCATTTCTTATTTAACAGTTTGTTGTTGTTGTTGTTGTTTTAAGTAGGAGAGGAGAGGAAATAAGGTTGGTCTTTCAATGCAGACTGCCCCTATAATGGCTGTCACCTTCAGGGGAGCGTTTATATCTCAAAATAATGTCCGAAGATGGAGCTCCCAATCAGTGCTTCTGGCTTGTTCATCAGGGATAAAGCGTAGGAGGCAGAAACACGATGTTCAATTCCTACCCAGTCCAACAACTCAAAATATATTTTCTACTCGATGCTTGGTGACACCTACATTGTAAATGAGAACAAGGAAACGAGGGGCTCCTTTCTGCTTAGGCAGGTGTCTCCTCTGTACAAATTAATGTGAATTTCTTGCTTATTGAGTTATTATTGTCTCTAAACTATGTGTATCATTTGTGAGGCATGCACGTCATCAGGGAAAAGAAGGTAGGGAAGACAAAAAGATAGGTACAGGAAGATTCTCTCTCCCGAGGTGCAATCTGCCAATCAAAAGTGCAACTGATTTGCTTAATTTTATTTTATTTATTTTTTATTTATTTGACAGAGAGAGACACAGTGAGAGAGGGAACACAAGCAGGGGGAGTGGGAGAGGGAGAAGCAGGCTTCCCGCGGAGCAGGGAGCCCAATGCGGGGCTCGATCCCAGGACCCTGGGATCATGACCTGAGCCGAAGGCAGACGCTTAACGACTGAGCCACCCAGGCGCCCCTGATTTGCTTAATTTTAAAGCTTTAATTCTTTCTGCCAGACACAATATCAATAAGGGACCTAAAGCTCTGACTTTTCTAGCTGAAAGGAAGAGTGTTTTAATTGCCTCACTTCCTACCTGTAGAGATTTAGGCATACTTATACACAATGGACACAGGCACCAGAAGGAGCAAGAGTATCATGGAGTCCTATACTGCTTGGTCACGGTCAGCAACCAATACCACACAAGCTGTTGCAATCCCTTGGTACGACAGGATCCTTTGATTAATCTGATTTCAGTTTGTCACAGAGAACAAATTCTAACATAACCCTTATACCACCCACCAAAGCTGAACTCATCTCCCCATATAATAATAATAACATGGAGAAAAGTCTTAATTTATTCTGAGTCAGAATGCCACAATTCTGGAAAACAGGGCCCTGGGACCCCCAAAAATAAAGCAACTAATTGCAAATACCCTTTCACATTCTCCTTACAAGTTCAAAAATCAGTGGATCAGCATGGGGCTGTCACAAATTTCCTGGAAAAAATAATGGCCACCTTTGCAGTAATATGATTAAGAAGAAAAATAGCTGACACTTTCTGAGAATTTAGGAAGTCTTAACCACTATTCTCAGTACTACACATGAAATAATTCAGTTAATCCTCACAACAACTGTGTGGAATTATCCCCATTTGACATAAAGGAAATTGTGGAGCAGAGATGCTAAATGACCTGTCAAAGGTCAAAGTGAGTGGTAGAGACAAGATTCAAACCCAACAGCCCGGTTCCAGAATCCCTGTTCTTAATCATGACATGCGTTGTCTTTCAACTCTTCAATTGAATTACTGTCATTGAAGTCACAATGCAAGCAAGCTTTGAAAATAAAAAAATATTTAATACAACTTCATTTCCTATTCCTCTTATTCTGAAAAAAAGCAAAAGGGGTAAGCAAAGAGCTAGAGAAAGATGAAAGAGGGCTTCTTTCTGTCTCATTCTTTGTACAATTTTCACAGAACTTCTTGCTCATGACCTTAGGCTTGTATCGAATAATCAGCTTTTTTCCAAAACCTCTTCAACATACAAGTCTCACTCTATTATAGAAGAAAAGAAGTTAGGTAGATATTATAAACCTTTTTTTGCAGGTAAGTAATAATGTATCTATATAAATATACAGACAGAGATATAAGGATCCTAAGATCTCAAATCCACATTCTGTCTTTAACTGCGCATCCCTCCATAAAACACCCCTCAGTGCTATGTATCCATAAAGAACAAGGATAGATAGAGAAATACTTATTAGCTGGGGCTTTAATTCCACACTCTAATTTAGTTCCCTAATCTATTAGCTGGACCACAGAGAAAACTACATTTGCTGTAGCTGAAGGTAGACCCACTGCTGGAAACTAAATCAGACTAAACATCCTCCTTCATCCTGTTATCGCTAAATTTACACCCAAATCTTAGATCTTACATTTGATGGCAGTGTGTGTTAGACTGCCTTCTTATGCTATTATTGCTCTTATATAGTCACTGGGACAAATGAAATGTGAAGTACCATCTTTCAAGACTTTATTTATATCTCTTTTATAACAGAGCAGAATTTCCCAAAACATGCCAAGACAGAATAATTCCATTAAGTCTATCCCAAGATCATTCTATTAGGTTGAGAATTCACCTCATATTCTACTTCCCTGCTAGAAAAAAAGCTCAACTAACTTGCCCAACCAAGCTTAGCAAACAGGGCAATACAATGTAAGCCAGATGTCAGAATGGCCCAAATAACAGAATGCCTATAAAACAAGATGTCCTAGACTTTATTCCTCACTGTAAAACCTAACCATGTAGGCTTTTTTCTATTATCTAGTTCATCTTTATTTATACAGAGAATAAAATCTACTGTGGACCTTCTTTGTCTATAATTTCAAGGTATTTAGGAGAATCATCTTTCATTTTTTTCCAATAAACTCCAGAATACTGGATATCTCAATAATAAAAAATCAATATCATTTTTCACAGGATGATTTCTGCAAACTCTATATGGATCATGACCACATGTCCAATTAGGTGTCATTATCCTCATTTTACAAATTAAAAAAATTGAGAATCAGAAAGCTCAAATTACTTGTAAAGCCACACAGCTAATTTAATCTCACCCCAAAATCTTTATTATTTCCCTTTCATAATACTGTCTCATTTGAGCAACATAATGACTCCCTTCATTTACTCAGTTATTTCTCCTTCTCCCTTACTGAATCAATGAATGAAAAGCATATTCCTAATCACAGCTTTTGGAAACAGAAGAAGCCCAGCCCCTCACCTTTGTAACATCAATCAGAAACACTCTAGGAAATAACAGAAAACTGGACTTAGCTCTTTTCACAGCAAACATAAAAACTGTAATAATATTCTAAATTTTGAAAATGCCCAATAAGAGGCTTCATGTAGTTTATTTAAATTGGCTCTCATCTGTGATTTTAGATTATTCCCCCAACCAGTACTCTAGTGCTTTCCAGTTTCTTAATTATGAACTCTACTTTGATATTAAGAAGTTAATTAATTTTTTAGGTCAGTTTAATTTAGTAAAGAAACTCATCACAAGTTTCCATTTGCTCCTGATGCCATTAATGACTCATTTTTGGTATTATATAGGGCTTTTCCATGAAATACTTTTTCCTGTGTATTTTCTAGGGCCAGGAATATTTCTCTCAGGGACACCTAGTCATTGAGTAGTTGACTTCCAGTCTTGATAGATATTAGTCTTCCAACTTAGAATCTTCCAAATCTGGATTTATCTTCAATATCAAACTCTACCAACTTCATGTGGGTGGTTTTCTTCTTTCCACAACGGGGGAAGTATTGTTCTCAGACTTGGTTTTGCATATCCTCTCATTCCAGCTAAGACTCTGAGTCAACCTAAGCACTTGCATTCATTCCCTCGTCATAGACAAGATGTTTCAAAATATGAAGACGACCAAGATTAGATAATATCTTTATCTCTACATATCTACCAACTTCTCTGTAGGTAGTATAAAGATTCACCCTTTATGGCCTCTAATGTTTTTTGGAAAAAAAAATAATAAAGTATCAGTATAGAGGAAGCACTTTCTGTCTTTAAAAAGTATTATCTAGCCTGTAAATTGTAATGTTCCCGTGGGAACTGAAACAGAATTGGGGAGTTTCCAAAATCCCACTTAGTTTGAGATGTAGTCAGTACAAATCTACTCTCTTAAATGGAGATTATGGATATGAATTTCCCTAACTGAAGGTCTATATCCAGGACATATTAAAAAGGGACTAAAGTTTGATGACGCAATGTTATACTCTCTAAGAGAAAATTCTAATTAGAAATCTCCCTATAAGTAAGAGTGGGCTTAATTATTTTGAATCCTTCTCATTTTATGATGTTCCAGGATGCAATTGCTTTTCTCAAATCAGTTCATAGAGTTTCCTTTAGCTTAAATTGGTTAAACGAGTTTTATAAAAAAATTCAAAAGGTGATTTTATATGCATAAAGTTAATTTTAATGCATTCTAAAGCTCTTCTAATTCACTCCAAATTCAGCAACAAAAGTAGAGCAATTCTAACCTATTTAAAATATAGTATACCTTAACTTATATAGTATCTAAAAATACAAAATTTTAATAAAGAGTCAAAACAACTATACTGAGATTTCTGTAGGTCCTGTATAATAAATATTTTTTAACTGAACCAATAAAATTTATTAGTTCTGAAGAAGCTCTCCCAGTAATTATGAAAGAAAGAGAAGAAATTAAGCTCCCCAGCTTTCAAGTAGGAGGAATATATTGTTCTTGGAAATTGTCCATCTCCTTCCTGCTGTTCAATTAATTCTCTACTTTCTTTCATTTCTCCTTTCTTCTTTTATAATACTCATACTTTTTCTTCACATAAGTTATCTTGTTCTCTTTAGTTCTTGATCTTTCCATAATCTATATGTTTGGGAAATGTAGACTTAAGCTTGAATTGTGGTTCCAGGTGGAGATTTTCTTGTTATGTTACTTAGAGACGCGTGTTAGAGTGTTATATTTAAAGACAGATGGCAACAATCATATGAACACTCCATGTGGCTGGTTCTCTGTATCCATCAATTTGCAGCTGAGGAGGCTAGTTCAAGCATCTGCAATAATTGGTAGAAAAGAAAATAAAAAATGGAGAAGACTAGACATTTTTACTCATTAAAAATGTGGTTTTATTCGCTCTGACATAAAATATACTGAATTTGAAAGTTCTTCAAATGGTTGTGGTGTAAAGCGCTCCTACAGAGAAGCAAAGATTTTCCAAATATACATTGCCTATTTGTTCAGGGTAGGAATTTTAACTGGGAGCTATGAATGTACACAGCCATCTTAACGTTTTATGGTGCTGGCAAACGAAACTACCTATCTTCTAGGGTTCCTTCACAGCTTGACTCCAAATGTGATAGGTTAAAAACTAATAATATCACCCAGAGACCCTCCCTTCCAGCTGTCCTCATCTTCATCTTAAAATTTTGCTACTGCTGTTAGATGTATATTTCTGTCCCTCAAACTGTGTGGCTTCCAAAAATCCAAGAATCAAATCCAAGAAAACAAACTTCCATTGTTTCTGAGACTTACCGAGTTTCACTTCATCTTCAGAAATCCTGTTCCATCTGTGAGTCCTAGCTACAAGCAAGGCCTCTCCAATAAGGCTCCTATTCCAGTTACCAGGCTCCTTCCAAAAATAGGTAGGTCCCAAGAATCACTTACTCCAACTGTGAGTCAGGTGATCCTGACTCCTCCATCTTGGAGTAAAAGAATACATATACTCAAACACAAAAATGTATGAACTAATTGTAATTACTACCAAATATAATCTATTGCAATACACCAAGTTTCTATACAGACATACAAGCATGCGTTTATACAGACACACAAACACACTAATATGGGTTCAGTTATTGTCAATTATTTCAAAATCATTTTTTTTTTTAAAGAGAAAAGTTAACTTTAAACACTGTGGCAGACACCACAAAAGTAACCCCCAATAAGTCATTTTAGGATGTATTGTCCACTCCCCACTTGCATAATGCCTTCCTCTCGTGTGTGGGTGGAACCTGCCACTTGCTTCTTACCAATACAATATAGCAAAGGTAATGGATGCCATTCTTATAACTACATTACATCATGTGACCAAGTTGATGGATGTCACTCTTATGATGACTCTTAGCCAACCGAATTACTTAAGTCTCCAAATAAGATCATAGGTCCAACCAACACTTTGATTTCAATCTGATTAGACCCTCAACAAAGGACCCAGATAACACATTTCTGAGTCCTACACAGGAAAACTGTGAAATGTTAAATGCATGTTGTTTTTATCTACTAAATTTGTGGTAATTTGTTACATAGCAATAGAAGACTAAAACAAACATATATGTACATAAATTCATCCTGAATTATTTTATGACAACCTTTTACATTTTAATCTTCTTAAAGAACTCCCTGCATATCCTATCAAGCATGTTTTTAAAACACCCACATCATATATCAAGAATATTTTTGCTGTGAAAATTGTGGAAAGTATTTTCATAATTTTATTTATTTGAGGGCAAATATTTCATTTTTTTTCTTATTATTTAACCACTATCCTAAGATATAAGCATTAAGTGAAGTTGCAAACAAGTAATGTAATGTTATGTTTTGTGGATATCTCATTAAGTATTAATTCCTTTTGACTTGCAGGGGTTTCTTTCATATTCTAGAGCTAATAGGTCATTTTTTAGGTGGCACATTTATCTGTAGATCTTCTGAAAGTTTATAGCCCTTGGAATTGTGCCTATGTTACATAATAGACAAAATGGCCCTGCACAAAAACAAATTACAAAAAAAAAAGAGACGAATTTGAGAAATTCAATTCTAATTCTACTTCAGTAAGCATTTAATGTAACTTCTAGCAAACGTTGAGCAAAAAATTTCCCTGCTGGTTCTGTTCTTATCCTCTTTTTTTCATGGCCTAATTTGGTGTCCTTGGCAGATCTCTTGTGTTCCCGCTTGATCTTTGTCCCACGCAGGTTTGTACTAGGATGATGGCACAGTTGTAAAGGCATTTCATTCTTTCTGAATATGATGCTCAAAAATCACCTCTCTAAGAGTTTTAATGAACTATATGCTTACAGTTCCAGCTGTTCCCAGTCCTATTAGTTAATACACAGACCCTGTTCAAAAGTTAAAGTGATAGATATCTTGTCTCCTTCGATTCTCTTAAAAATGACTGCCTCAGTTACCAATTTTTCTGGAAATGACTTCCCTAACTTCACTGCATCTTCCAGGCTTTCTGAACACTGCTCTTCTCTCTCCTGAGAAGAATCTGTCCTGTGGCAGGAGGAGGGTTTTTACATGGTTTTGCTGAGGAGGAACAAGCCTACAAGTCCTGAGCACTCCAGCTTCAAGATGCCCAATTCTTCAATACGAAGCTAGTTCAGAAGTCATTTACTCCACAATGCTTTCCTTGTTGTGATATCAAACATCACCTTCCCATTAACCCAGCCAGGATCTTGCTGTTAACCAATTTTTATTAACTGTGTGACCTACATTTCCTCAACCATTTTTTTATAACCATGTCTACAAAATTAAAAAATTTTGTCCTTAAGGACAATTACCATATAGCAAAAAGAAAGGGAACTAAACAGAACCTTTCTGCTTAAACAAATCTGAACAGGAAGATATTGCAATGAATAAAATCATTTGAAGTTATGAAAAGAAAGAGAGTAGCAAAGGTATTTGAAGTATACCTTGAAGGAACAAACTGTGGCAAAAGATTGCTAGAAAGTGCCAGAAGGTATTTGTTACATTCTAAAAAAGGACTGTTGGATATGTTTCTCCATATGTCATTATGAGGCATACATTTCTCTTGGGTATCATACCAACTCACAAAAGGAGACAGACATCGATACCATTTTTGGCAGTAAAGGCAAGGAGTGGTAAAAGATCTGCTCTATCAAATTTTCAAGCAAAGATATGAATAAGAGAGTCTTAAAACACCTAATTTTTTTAAAATTGTGGATGCTTTTGATAAAGATTAAACATCCTACTATATCAAAAATCTTTGGTAATTCTACAATAATATTAGTCATTTGTCACATTATTATAATTAGCATGAAAAGGCAGTATAGTGTAATGACTAATCAGCATGAATATTGGAGCCAGATAAACCTATGTTGGAATTTATCATTCCACCCTCCATTCATCAGTGGAGACCCACTGGATGAGTCCATTAAACTCTGTAAGCCTCAATTTCTTCATTGGTAAAATATAGGAAATAATAAGACCATTTTCATAGTGAGGAATAAATGACATCCTATTTATATAGTGTTTTTCATAGGGCCTAACACATAGTAAGTGTTCAATATATGCTGGCAATTACTATTCTATCTTATAGAAGAAATTACTTTCCTTATTTAGATAACACCTCATTCCAAAACTCATGTTGTTTTCAAAATATATGCAGCATATGAGGAGGGTAAAGTGAGGAGATCATGAAGAAAAGAATACAGCTAGAAATAATAAGTTAAAGACAGTTGTGAGATGTCATGAAGTTGTACATACTTTGCTAGATATGAATCATGGACTTAGAGCTGCCTAGAAGCTAGTGTGAAGAGAACACGCAATCAGATACATGACTTAAAAAATAAAAATAGAAAGCCGTGTTTATTTCTTTTAAGATTTTATTTATTTATTTGAGAAAGAGAGTGTGTGCTCACATGAGAGAGGACAAGTGGTAGAGGGAGACACAGGCTGACCTTCTAGCAGAGAACCAGACATGGGGCTCAATCCCAGGACCCAGGGATCATGACCTGACCTGACGGCACCCACTTAACTGACTGAGCCACCCAGGCGCCCTGAAAGCCATGTTTAAAAGAAACCCAAATAGTCTGAGAAAAAATGTGTCACCTCACTTGGACCTTATAAAAAAGATACTATGTGAGGTGTAAACAATTTCCTCAATTACTTTCTTACAGCAAAGCAAATAAAAAAGAGTTTTGATTATCTTATGATAGCCCTCAAATTTGGCTAATAGAAATGGAGTTTAGTGAAAGTAATTTTAAAACAGTGCAGCTTGGGTGCATGGCTCTCTGATGAGAAACAATACACTAATAATTAAATCTTAGTAATAACCAACTGTGTGTAGTACTTTGAAATTCATGATTATTTTTAATTCTGAAAGCTAGGTATAGCAAGTATAGTCATCCTTATTTTACAGATACAGAAACTGAGTCTCAAACAGGCTCAATGACTTGCCCAGAGTTATGTTGGAGAAAAGTAACAGAGCGGAGACTGTTTCTTAATCTTATGTCCCTCTCTTTAATTCTGTTTCCTTTTCACAGCTCTGCTATGAAATGGACTGACAATTGGGAAAGCATAGAAAGGACTCCAGCTTCTGCCCCTCTTGGGGATAGCAACCATCTTCAACAGCCTTATTTTGATATACAAAAACCAGATTGGAAGGTCTCCATGAAGCATAGCTGTTTCTATGATACTAATAACTTGGAGGATTTGCCAAAGGTCATTCTTAAAATGTAAGTCATTTATAAGCTCTAAGAAAATAATAACAATAATGTTTTTTATTTTCATAGCACTTTACATTTCTCAAGCACTTGCATATGATAGTTTGTACTTCCCAAGAACTGGCCCTGTAAAGTAAACCAACTTATTTACACCAAATGAGACGCTTATCAATTACAACTTTTGCAGAAAACTGCAGGTTAAGCAAGAGAAAATAAAATCTGATGATGGACATTCTGAAGCGAGATTCTCTTACACAGAAAAACCTTAATTGGTGGATAGATGTCACATTGAAAGAAAACAGTAGATAGAGGCTTACCAACTTGTAAGCTGATATTTTATAGCTCATGAATGAAGAAATGGCAGAAGCAGGCAGAGTAAAATTTTAAAAAGGAAGAAGAGCTAATAACCTATGTTCAGACCTCAAATTAGATAAAAGATCCCAATTGCAGTTCAAGAAGTTATGCTGCTAGTTTTAAATGTAACCCACAACTAAGCGCAAAATCTGGCTTTGGGAAAAATATTTGCTACATTCTCAAATTATGGAATACTCTGGTTTCCATAGGATGCAAATATTTGGCCTGCCAATAATTAACTTTCTGTGTTTCTTGTAGGCAGTTAGTGCAGGGATAAGAGGTGGGATGAAATTCAACAGTTACTAAAATTGAGCAGCTCAGAATGAAAATGGGCTTTTAAATTTTATTATCTAATATAGTTCTGATATGGCAATGACCTAAGGATTATGAATATGGAAAACATCTCATTTTGAGTCTAACATTTTGATCCTAGACCTCATTTTGTTCCACGAAAATAACATAATCAGGTTGAGAGAATATATGCAGAGCAAAGATTAGCCAATTTTACCTAATGCTTTCTGGAAATGATGCTCAGTGTACAAAAGGGGCTTTCATCATCTGGGTGACATGTGCCTGGTGACGGAAACCTGACTTCTTTGATTACCACAGGTTTCCATCTGGTGGCAAAACGTGTTCCTTGTTCATCTTACTTAGGCTGAGATCTTAAGCCAGTGTCTCTTGGGAAACTGTCTTGAAAATAATCAATCCACCAAAACCATGACCTCTCAGAACAAGACAAGGTAAAAAATTTCTTTGTTGTCAATCAAAACAATAAGCAATGACCAATTTTTTAAAAAAAATTTTAACTTATCAAGCAAGAAAACAGAACTGCTTCTAAAATTGCATTTGGAAACTATTCTTTTGCTATTCAGGGTGTAAGCTCA